CCAGATCTCCGACGGCCAGATTCTTGCTCGCGCTGAGATTTGCGAGCTTCTCCTCCGCTGATCCCAGAGCCAGAGCTTCCGTCCCGAATTCCGCCGCCCACGTGACTTCGACGATCTCCCGGTTTATTGCTCGCACCTTCTCGTTTCGATTCTCGACGATCTTCAGCGCTACTTTAACGTCCATATCTTGAGCCATTACTGAAATCGATTGACAAAGAAAGTAAATCGGGGATCAGAATTCCAGGAATGAAGCAAGAATCGCAGTATAATTACTATATTCCGACGGCGGAGAGTTCATACAGAGCATAACTACCTGAGGTAGGAGTCGCCGGTGCCGGGATTGCCTCGAGAAAAGGGGAAATACGGAACGGAGGATGGCTGGAAACAAATCAGAGATCAAAATTACAAGAATTAAGCAAGAATCACGTGTAAATACTATATTCCGACGGCAGGGGAGTTCGCAGAGAGACTAACTACCTGAGGTAGGAGTCGCCGGCGACGGAATCGGCAGGGGAAAGGGGGAAGTACGGAACGGAGGATAGCTGGAAACCAAGGTGAAGAGAGAAATCGCAGAGAAAAATGGAAGTAGCGAAAGTCAGCCAGTTAAAGGTGTTTGGGTATTTGTAGGCGCGGCTGGCAGTGATGCGTGAGGCCGGCGCGTTGGGTTTCTTGCAGAAGAGCGAGAAAGAAGGGCGCGTGAAGAAGTCGTTAGAGTGCGCCGGCGCGTGGATTTGGTTCTCGCGATGGGAGAACGAGAAATGTGGATGGGCGAGGAAGCGTGAGAGGGGGACTGGATTGTTCTGTTAGTTTTGGCGGGAAGATCGACTGGAGCAAAATCAATGTCCTGTCCGTACTTCTATTTCTATTTTATTTATTATATATATATAAGCATGCTTAATGCCTTAACGTGGGCTCATAGGCCCAAGCAAAATCTTTTATCCAACAAGAACAGCGGAGGGTTTAGACTCAGACAACAAAATAATTCTAATTACAACTATTTCGTTGATGGGCCAAAAACGGGCACAAGTATTGACAGCGGACTCCAATCCAGGTTTTACGGGTTAGACTAAACACTTATAAAATTTGTATAACACGTTTAATATTCGTATTTAATTAATTAAATTGTTATTTATATATGTAATTATTTTCAAAGTAATTATTTTTATATATTTATCACTGTTGACGTACTATTAAACGTAACATTAGTTTAGATATGAAGTAAAATATCTATACGTATTTTATATTTAACTTACGTGTACTGTATTTTACTAACTATGAACAATTCATGCTTCAACGGTAACAAAATGGGCAACTAAAGTCAAAATAAACCAAAACAGAGTTGGGAGTAAGAAAACTCCAATAGGCCAACAAGAAATTGGAGTGAAATTGATTATGATACCGATATTCTGGTACCAATTACAGATGTCTTGAATACCAAATTATACTATACATTCAATCCCAATTTAAAATGAATTTGTTATCCCAAACTATTTTGTAACGTATTAGTATTCTTGGAGGCCAAGGGACGACTAACGAGAGTGTTCGCATTTTTGGTGTTCTGTAAATAAAAAGAGGTGGAGTGACAGACAATTAAGTTGGAGAAATTGGAAAGTCGGACTTGGGTTGGATGGGGGCTTGCGAGTTGTCAAAGAGCGAGGAAGGCCCGGAATTTATGGGCTACACTAAAATAATCGCGAATACTAAATAACACTGCGATGGAGAGTGCTGTAGAGCTGCCTGATCTCCAGAGCCTGCTTGACAGGTATGTCAGGTTAATTTAAAAATCGGGGGATCTGCCTCCACAACACTAGATCATTTTATCAAACTGAGAGAAGAGGAAAAGCCAATAAGTGTGATCCCCTACAGCTATGCCTACTCTCAGAAGGCAGAGATCGAGCAACAGGTAGAAGAGATGATGTCGGCATAACTAGTTCGATCGAGCTCCAATCTTTTTTCATTGCCGGTTTTGTTGGTGAAGAAGAAGGACGGATCGTGGCGATTTTTCATGGATTATCGGGAACTGAACACGGCTACGGTTAAAGCCTTATTTCCAATTCCCACGGTGGATGACATGCTAGATGAGTTGAAGAGAGCCCGATACTTCACAAAGCTAGACCTGAGGGCGAGATACCATCAGATCTGGGTGCATGAGGAAGATATTCATAAGATGGCTTCTAGAACTCACAATGACCACTATGAGTATCTCGTCATGCCATTTGGTCTCTATACTGACATAGTTAGACCTCTGCTCCGCAGGTTTGTACTAGTATTCTTTGATGACATTCTATTTATAGTCCATCATGGGAGGAGAATTTGTTCACCTTTTTTTTACAATGCATTTGGTCCACTTGCTGCAAGTATTTGAGATATTGCAGGAGCACCAATTCTTTGTGAAGGCATCAAAGTATGCCTCCGGTGTGCAGGAATTGGATTATCTAAGGCATATTATTTCGGCAAATGGCGTGAGAGTGGACCCGTCCTAGAGACGGGCCATGGTGGACGTGTCAGTCCCGAGGACAATAACGGAGCTGTGAGGATTCCTGAGGCTGATCGGGTACTACTGAAAATTTGCATAGGTATATAGCTCGATAGCAGGACAGTTGACAAAGTTATTGAAGAAGTGAGGGTTCAACTGGAACCCTAAGGCCGAGAAGGCCTTCTGTGACCTGAAGACCGCATTGACCACGACCATGGGGCTGTCTCTTCATGATTTCTCCCAACTTTTTGATATCGAGACAGATGCATCAGGAAAGTGTATTGGAGTAGTGTTATCATAGTAAGGGCGCCCTATTGCATTCATGATTCACACACTATTACTGGCCAATGAGACATGGTCGACATATCAGAAGGAGATGTCTGTTATTAGCACGGCGATGCAGGTCTGGAGGCCCTACCTAATAGGCCAGAATTTTTGCATCTACCTCAAGTACTTGCTAGACCAAAAGGTCTCTACTCCGGATTAGCACAAGTGGGTGGTTAAGCTGATGGGTGACTCATGCTATCACTACTCTTAATCCCAATTATAGGTAAAATGCAACCTATATAGGGTGTAGGATAGGGTAAGTATTTCAATATCAACCCGGACGGTCAATATACCCTTACTTCAATTGTTAACACGTTATCTAACGATCGGATTATGTTTAAAGCTAATGAAACTAGAATTAAAACAAGCAAGCAAGTAAACTTTGTTGAGTTCGATTTTTGAAAGCATCACTCGAACATTGCTCCGCATAGTCTCGTGTCAAGATACAATGAATGAAAATCTAGTGTGATAGGGATGATCATAAACCGTGAGGTGTTTTCAACTAGCTAGGTAACCCCCTAAACCTCTCAATTGATCGATTAAGGATTGTCACTATTAGCTAGAGAACCCCCTAGACCTCTTAATCAATCAACCAAGGTTTGCAAAACAAATCCCTAGAACTTTAGTTCGGAATGACGAAAAGTAACCAATCAATACGATATCATGACACTAATTCGGTGAATGAGGAATTACTCAAATTGCCCTAGGGAAGGTTACCCAAATTGTGGGCTACAAGGGATTTTTCTTCTTCTAGGTCAATTGTCCCACAATTGAGATATGAACAATCAACACCCAAATTCTATGAATAATACCTCAAATTAATGGAACGCAGTGACACCATTAGTCAAATTAATGGAACACTTACCTAGCTGCCAACTCACCCTCTCTTTCGTTTCCACCTCGGCCTCCGATGACAAGTGGATGGCACATCATTTATACCTTCTACAAGGGGTTTCCATTATATACTTTAATGGCGTTAGTGACATTGTTAGTCAAATTAATGGAACGCTTACCTGGCTGCCAAGTCATCCTCTCTTTCATTTCTACCTCAGCCTCCGGTGACAGGTGGATGACACGACATTTATAATTATAATTTTTTTTAATCCTACCTAAATCGTGGACCCGAGCTTTGTATCTCAATTGGTGATGATATATCATAACCAGAGCTCCACTCCTTCAATGGCAGTTCCCCAACCCTAACCTCTGTGAAACTCTTCATCTTTCCTCCTCCATAGAAACAGTAGTTCATCTAGGCTCCTCGTCGTCGAATTTACCTTCATCTACTTCCAGGAATCTGTCCCGGAAGGGAAAAAGAGAGGATCAAGGAAGTCGTCGAAATCGAGGGGAGGCGCGAGGAGGGGATCGACATCGGAGATTGGCGGAGGAGGAGGGTGCGGCCCTCTCCCCAATCTTCCAACCAATAGCAGCAACCCGCCTCGACCGTCCACTTCTACCTGAGTCCCCATCGTGGCTTGATTCCTCCGTAGGCGAGATCTTCTACAACAGACAGATCAGGAAGACACCCAAACCCACAAAAATAAATCTCACAGAACCCAGAACCCTTCTTTTCTATTTCAGTCGACCAAGAAGACCCCCAAACCCAAATCTCGGTGGATTGCACAAAGAGCAACTCCAGATTCGTCAGTGGGGGGGAGAGAATAAGAAGACGAGTAATCGTGGGCAAATAGAAGCGATTTTTGCCGACGATGACTTCTTCCCAACTCGTCTGCAATTGCTCCATCTTCTGTTGCTTTTGGACTCGTCGTTCTTATTCGTCTGCACTGGTCCCCTTATCTACGACAAATCTCAAAATCGGGGATTAGAGAGTAGAGGGTGGGGATGCTTAAAGATGGTGTGACAGTGAAGTCAGAGCTAGAGCTGGAGCTGGTGGAGGCATGCAGAAACGATTGATGGTGCCGAAGGCAGAGATGATTTTGGACAGAAGGCAACGATAGTTGTGGTCTTAGTGGTGGGAGGATTTGTCATCGAAGAAGAGCACTTAAGCGTAATAGGGAGAATGGGAAAGTGAGAAGGGACTGTGGACTCCTAAAAAACTCTTTAATTGTTTTTTATTTAGTATTTTTTGGTTAAATCCACGTGGGTAATATGTACAAGACAAAAATCGCTAGAACAAACGATCCATTAGTCTAGTCAACACGTTAACTCACACCATCAAATAATTAGACGAAAGTGACTATTTTAGTATTTCGCTAAAAGTGACTATATTTGACAAAACCTTCAAAATTTTGGGTTTTGGCTACACAAGTGTATTTTTGCCTGTTTCAATATTCTGCTACGCCCATTTAACACACGAACCCAGCCCAGAAAACAACCCATATGTGCGGCCCAATATCGACAATTGGTTCATCGCGCCAGACAAAAACAAACGACATCATAACCCCGCGGTGTACATTTGATTAGCTTTGGAAGAAATTTTTTTGCTTACATGTTCCGAAGTAGCAGTTAGTACAACAGGCGGTCAAGCTTTTCAAGCCATGATGACAACACACTCACCTCAATCACTTCGTTTGCTGGTGCCACTGCTGGAGTTTTGCTCGGATAGAGCCTTGAGAACAGTAACCAGCGCCTGCAGACGATCCCATATGTTCAGCCCATATAATGCTTCCACAAGCGACTCCTGGAACTCGAAACCACCCTCCGAAACTGGATACTGCAATTTCCATGGCGAAAAAAAGCATGATAGTTATATTGTGATTCGAATTACTCCAGAAAACTGAGACACATGCACAGCCTTTAGCTTAACCCGTGGTTGAAGTGGGTACCTGAATTGGCTTGGGTATCTTGGTTTTAACGTACGGCCACCATCTATCCTCAACAACCGACTTCACCAGGCAGCAGGCTCGCAACCCTTCGATTCCGGCAAATCGTCCGAATCCACTGTCTTTCACACCGCCGAACGGCAAGGACTGAAATGGAGACAATGCATCAGTTTATTGATTTTAGGAGCTCGTGCAAAAATCAAGTGAATACGAGAGAAAGTATTGCCTGGCACATGTAGGAGGAAGCGAAGTCATTGACAGCCGCGACTCCAGTGTGTATCTTTGAAGCTATCTCCCTGGCGCGTCGCTGACTGCCCGAGAACACAGCGCAACCAAGCCCGTATCTCGAGTCGTTCGCAAGCTTGATCGCCTCTTCGTCAGTGCTGAACTTCATGATCGGCAGGATCGGTCCAAACGCCTGCGCCAAAAATAAGAGTTATCTGTTAAACTGCCTTTGACAAGAGCACTCGGGCTGCGGAAGCAGAGTGGCAGCTTTTATTATACCCAACTGGTGAATCCATCCTGAACTCAACCCGTTGAAATAACCGGCTAGCTATCATGAGCCAACCCGTCTGATTGGTCCACTATCCATGATTAACTAGCCTATATAGAGTTATCTGCGAAATTGCCTTTGACAAGTGGAGTCTGGCTGCGGAAGCAGAGTGGCAGTTTTGTTTTACCCAACTGGTGAACCCGTCCTAAACCCAACCCGTTAAAATAACCAGCTAGCTATCATGAGCCGACCGGTCTGATCGGTCCCACTATCCATGATTAACTAACCTACTGATCCACTACCCATTATGAACGAAGCTGACCAGTTTGTCATCTCAATGTGGGCTTATGTTAGGGAGGACGAATCATACCTCCTCTTGCATTAACTTCATGGTGTGGTCGACATTTACGATCACCGTTGGGGGGAAGAACTGATCGACAGCACCTTCGCCAAGGTGACCGAAACTCCCTCTAGCAACGATTTCTGCACCTTTTTCCAGAGCATCGTTTACGAGGTTCTGAAGCCTCTCAGAATGCTCTTGCATGCATAGCGCTCCCATGTCATACCTTCCAGTAAGTGGCGGGCCCTTCAACAATGGTAAGAAGTAGATTGAGAGAGACGATTCAAGAATTGAAGAATGTCTGTGTGATGGAATCTTTTGGCAAAATAACAATTACTTACGGCGGAAACAGATTTTACAATCTGGGAAACTTGGGTGACAAATGAAGCATATACGTCTCTGTGAACATAAAACCTCTCGGCCCCAGCACAGTTCTGTCCGGATGATTGGAGGGCAGCCCTAACAGCCACTTGTGCGACCTAGGATTGGGCGAAGAGGAATGAGAATGCATTTACTCAAACCTTGTGGAGGAGATGGATACATAAGAGAAGGATATACTTACATGAGGCACATCCACATCTTCACACACAATGAATGCATCCTTTCCTCCGAGCTCAAGCGTAACCGGGACAAGATTTTTGGCCGCATTTCTCATTATCTGCAATCATATGTGGTAAATACACCAGCTGTGAGCGAAGTTGAGGCAGTGAAAGGCACACAGAATTGCTTAGACTAATAAGAGAAGGGGCAAGGCCAACTAAAGCAACTAATTGGAAATCAACACCAGATGTGTAATTAGCTCCACATTAAGATATGATTGTCTAAGTCTTTCTTCTTTGCACATTACACTACTTGGAAGCTCTCTTTGTTACCCAAAACGCATCTAATTAGCAAGTCTCCAGGAAGTTTATACATGGTTTCTAGGATTTTCGTAGTCTTCAAATGGTTTTCGAAGGTTTTTCAATCATTCCACATTTACATCATTGAGTATAAGGGAAGCAAGTGAGCAAACGAGAATGAAACATTCAACAGGTGAAACGAGAGGTGCCTGGTAAGCCTTTTTAGCAGCTACGGTTATGAATCAGCAATAACGGAAACTTACCTTCTTACCAACACCAGGAGATCCAACAAATATGACTTTATCAACTGAAGACACCAAGGCTTCTCCTGTTTCAGCAAACCTACAATCCACAGGACCAGATTGAGCAAACCGCTTCTTGAACATGACGAATAATTTAAACGAGTGGCATGAGCACAAAGCATGTAATATACCCTGTTATTACGTCAACCAGATTATCAGGAGCACCAACAGCAGCAAGAGCAGCTTGGATTATCCTGAAGTAGAAACAGCCTGACCAGCTTGCATGTTCCGAGACCTACATTTTCAAGCAAAGAATCAACTGTGATTTAACAACAAAGAAGCCTCTTAACGATATTGTTTTTTCTAGCACAAATATAGTTGAAAGAGAAAAGCCAGCGCGGAAATAACATCACCTTAATCACAATGCCATTGCCTGAAAAGACTGCTGCCAGCATTGGATTAAATACATTGTGAAAGGGGTAGTTCCACGAAACAATGGCACCAATAACGCCAAGGGGGTGGAACTCAACCTTAGCTTTCTTGTGAATCATTGATCTCCCAGATGATCTGTGTGTTTAAGAATAGTTTAGACAGAAAGAAATCGGTATTTACAGCAAACTTAGGATAGGGATCTTTTAGTAAATTGAAGTCAGCGAACAGGATGTCATTAAGAACCTGTATTCAGGCTTTAGCCACCGCTCACCCTCTGAGAGTAGCCAAGTAATCTTCTCACATGTGGTCATTATTTCTCCTAAAGATGCATCGACCATTGTCTTTCCAGTATCACGAGAAGAAACTCTGATCAAAATATCATAAATCACAATCCAGACTAATATATAGACAACCGTACAGACAACACAATGGTAAAGAACATAATTCATTTGAGTAGACTACTAGCTGCGATCAGACGCAGCCACATCTTGGTGTTCTAACCATCTTCTTTAATCTCATGGGCTCATGGCAGTTGTTCTTTCAGAAACAACCACACATACGTCTCTCATCTGTCCTGTCTACCATAGCAGTCCTAGATTTTGTTTTTGGCATAATTCATTATAAAAATACTGCATAAGATTGATTGCAAATGACTTTGCATAAAAAAATCCATGTTCAATGGAGAAAAAGGTCATGCTGAGAGTATTTTTACTCGCAAATGAGCTGTTGGTGTTCGAGAATGTATTTCAGAAGAATCCTCAGAAACTGGCGTCGTTGCTTAAAGCTGCTTTTTGCCCACACTGTCTGAGCCTTCTTAGCCAGAGCAACTCGTTCCTCGACCTTGTGGCAGATAGCAAAGCACTCAGCCGAATTTGGAGAACCAAAACAGAAAGTTTCTAAGATCTGATAACTCGCTCCAAACAGCAATTTACCTCAGAAGGCGACAAGGCAGGGAAGTATCCCAAGTATTTCATGGTAGCCGGTTCATAGCACTGAACTTTTGTTTCCGACTGCTGCGTCCTTCCTCTAGGCGGTATCTGAAGCATGTACCACACCCCAACGATCAAATCACAGAGTAAACCAGTTAGCGAAAGAAAGCTTCAATTAACAGCTACAGCATATAGAACCTTAGAACCATCAAATCACCTAGTAACGAGTTCATGAACGCAAGCTTCAATTAACAAAAGCACAACAGCTCGACTCAAAAGATTCCAGCCGTTTCAATCCAGTTCGCTTAAGATAAACACATTCTATTTCAATCAATAGCTAAAGCAAACACCACAATGACAATCAAAATCGCCGAGTAACCAGTTAAAGAACGGGAGGCTTCAATCTATCCCTAAGGCACTAGAACTTCACTCCAACCGTTTCAGCTCAGTTTACTCCACGAACGACCCATCCGTTCAATTCCAGTCCGCATACATTTTCAGAGAATCACACAATCTAGAAAAACCGGAACCAGTGATTCTCGCTAGATCTCCGGAAGAGAGATACTCAGTTCTCCACAGGACAGTTTGAAATCAACGCGACGAAATGAATCGAAATTGTCTAAATCAAGTAAGCGATAGTAAGGAACTACGAAGAGCTGAATCCAGAAGAACTTACGTAAATGAAGCTGTTCTCCTGCGCCTGATTCCCTTCCGTAACTGAACAGCAGAAACAAACGCCATAGCTCGAGTCAACAACACAGTAGAGTGGACAAGTATACTCGCTCTTTCAAGTAGAAATTGGGGAAATGCTACAACTCGGAACTGCGATAATGTCGACGAATCACGAAACGATTTACCGTCGGAGACGTCGACGTCGATCGAAGGCACATTGACGGGGATGAGCATGAACAGAAAGCGGCAGAGGCCGTAAGCGAGAGCTAGTACAATCAACGGCCACCAGAACGCCATTGCTAACAGTTCGCGCGCTCTAGGGTTTCCAAGGATTGCAGAACATGGAAGGCGGAGATCGGAGAGAGCAGTTACGGAAGGGAAATGCTTTGTTATGAACTTTTGATGATTCCGAGTGACGGGAGAGAGTTGTTTGGATTTTTCTACTTTGGAATCAGCCCACGGTAGAGTGAGTGAAGAAGACAGGCGAGTTGGGAATATAAAAAAGAGTGACGAGTGGAAGAAAGAACGAAAGAGGAAGCGGTAAATTACAATTTGCTACTGTGGAACTGTGGTAGTTGGATCGCTATTCTACATTTCGGTTTGGTCCCCTAGTAGGGGTGGGCATTCGGTCGGTTCGGTTCAAACCGAACCGAAATAATGTATACCGGATTTCCGAGTTCCATCAAACCTCAAACCGAATTCGAACCGAATTATAATTCGGTTCGGTCGGTTCAAACCGAATTATAATTCGGTTCGGTTCGGTTTTGTATGAAAAACCGAACTTGTGAGGTTAGCTTATATTTTTTCTCTTTTAAATTATTTTTCACCACTAATGTAAACAATAAATATGCAATTAAATGCATCATCAATGATAAAATCAAACATTTCAACACATAAGTCATAAAACACTAACATACTTCAAATATTTAAGTCTCATAATAAGTACAAACATAAAAATCCACCATTTGGAACTTGCAATTACAGTAATTCGGAAATTCGGTTCGGAATTCGGAAATTCGGTTCGGTCGAAAGGACCTTGGTTTCCGAAATATACCCTTTTCTCTTCCGAATTCCGAACCGAATTAATATTATTCGGTTTCGGTTCGGTTTGAATTCGGTTCGGTTCGGTTAGGTTCGGTTTTACCGAACCGTATGCCCACCCCTATCCCCTAGGCGGGCTTCTGTGTTCAGCCTTAAATTCAACAAGTTACCACTTACCACTTACCAGCAGTGAAATCTAACCAGAAATTTTTTAACATGTTGCTTGGTAGTAGAGAAGTTACCACTTACCAGCAGTGAAATCTAACCAGAAAATTTTTAACATGTTGCTTGGTAGTAGAGTTGTTAATGAACCAAGTCGCTCATGTACTACTTGGCGTTCGATTCGAGAAAAACTCGTTCGACATTCAATTCATCTTAATCGAGCTGGCTCACGAACAAACTCGTTAACTAAACGAGCCGAACTCGAGTCATACCATGTTCAGCTCAAAAGTTCGCGAACAAGCTCATTTAAATGGTTTGGCATCATTAAGGATTGGATTTCATGGACTTTATGCATTGAAATGGGATAAATATTGTGTTTTATTTTGTTAGAGACTTTGCTACAGGTTTGACTGTAATTTTGGGCTCGTTAAACTTATTTGAGCTCGATTTGGGCTCGTTAAACTTATTTGGCGAGTTGAGGTCAATTCAAGCTCGATCTTTCATTTTCATAAGCGAGCTCGAGCTCGAGCTTGCATATTAAAGCTCGTAACGAACTCAAGCTTGGAAATATTTTAACGAATCAAACTCAAACTATTGCAAAGTTCAACTCGGTTCGGATCATTAACAACCCTACTTGGTAGGTTGTCTCCGTTTAACCTTTAATTCAATAAGTTACCAGTTACCAGCAGTGAAATCCAATAAGAAATTCTTTACATGTTACCAATTACCTACATGTCTCAAAATTTCATCTTCTTCCTTGTTACTTTTCGAATGGAGGACCCGGCCTCTCAAAAATAGGATCATTGTGAATTTGTGATCGTTACCGCCAACATCACATCTCTCGGTACTTGCACTGTTGCACAAGCGATCCAGACCGCTCATGTTGAGGGAGTCTATATGCTCGAATAATATTTTCAATATCACTCCATTCTGGTTCCCATATTGGTCAGCAAACGTCATTAGACTCCAAAATGGGACATGCTTAGTAGAAACAATACGATAACCATGTCCTGCCCAGTGCCCATGGTACCCCATCTCTCACACTAGCGCCTAAATAAATACCTGCTTTGTAGATGACCGAGTAACAATCCCCTTCGTAGTTAGTACATGTATGCAACACCATCAAGAATATCCGCTCCTATCATACACACCTCCTGCAACACTGCCATAGTGGTGAGAAGATGTCTCACCTCTATGATAGTCATAACTCATAACTCTCTCCATCTACAACGACCTCGTTAGTGTCACTGTACACCCCTACAAGCTCGGGCTTATTTTCTGCTAGGAGGTCCAACATCAAACCCTATCATTGTCAGATATGATAAGTTCTTCATACATCACACCGCCCCACTAGTGTTTGGACCCCGATAAGAAGTTTTACAAATTCACATCTACACCCCCCATTCATACCCATTCAACACAAATGTCATAGAGTTGTTGTCAATGTCATAGAGTTTTTGTCACGTGAATCTGCTCTCAATCTTCTTTCTAGTGGATTCACCACCTTCATAATCCATCCCGATGTGAGAGTTTGTCATTTGACCATGCCATCGAATAAGTAGCTGGAACTTTCGGAGTTTTCTATCCATACCTGCAATTAAAATATATACTCATAGCTAGCCAATATATCTTACAGACTACTTAAACACTAATATTTCATATGGTCTACTTGAACCCAAAACATAACTACTTAAATACAAGCATATTAAACAACTTTGTTCTTACCTATTGCACCGAGGTAATTGAGGGAATGAATATGTGAAAGTTTGTTGGGTGCAGTGGCGGATCCAGATTTTAGGATCGGTGTGTCGGCTAATAAAACTAATTTAAAATAAACATAGAACTTTTATTCATAAAGTTCACCAATTTCATTATTTTTTACAGTGAACCACGACGAGTTTTCATATTCTAACAAATTTCAGTAATTACATTTGTCCATTTGGTTGCAATCAAATCTTTTTATGTACATGATTAAACAATTATTCAGAAACTAGTCACTCACCTTATACCAAAGATTGTTCTCGGTTAAACTCATATATGGAAAATGTCATTTGTAGCTTGCAGTTGCAAGAGGTAAAGTCAACACTAATTTAAGATGGGAAAGCTAGTATGAGTATTTGGAAGGGTGGCCACAAGCGTCAATATGGAAGTTTGAATGAGGAATGTCGCCGGCTCGACGCGTTGAAGTGTGGCGACTGACGTCAACGTGGAAAGAAATAACTAAACTAGAAAGCAAGTTGAAAATTAACTTAAAAGAAAAATCTATGGAAGAAGCTACGGGGAAATACAGTCTAGAACACTATCTAGTTACTTGACTTTACCTAATTTGAAGTCGAGTAACTCTAAGGCTAAAGTGATCAGGTCTTTGACCAGTCAACCCACCCAAGCCGCTGCGCATAACCCTATCCTCGTGGAGATATATGGTCGCGTTTGTCCAAAGCGATTAAGGTTGATTGCTTAAGTCAAATGAAGCAAATGTCGAACACTTAATTTACACAAGCATGATGATAGTTATGATCGTTGTGCCCATAAGGGATTTAACTTTGTGAACGTAATGATCGCTTGACCCACCCGGGATTTAGTGTTCACCGCTAAACCTAACAACCATCGTGTTTGCCCACCTGATTTTATAGTAGATCGATGTCATCCTAATTAAGCGATCAATGAATAACATGGGTACATTGGGAAATTTTATAAGAACTATTGTATTTTGAGAATTTTTTTAAGAACTAGTATAGTTTGGGGAAAATTTCCAGTACTGTAGACATTCAGTGCCCAATATAATTACATTTTTTTAAGATTGTGATGGAGATTGATGGTACGTGTATCGAATTTATCGCAACACAAGTCACATATTAGATCATGAAATCATGAAAATACATGCATTCGCCATAACCAGCAGAATACACTATTTATCATTCATAATTTTATTCACCTAGTATATATTATCTAAGGTAACATAATAGTTCCTCTCAAAATAGAAATGACGTAATTTTTCCGGTATAGCGCTACTCCAAACACCGGAAAACAATGAACTTTTTTTTATCACATAAGGACGTAACTGCCACATATGAGGCTTTAGTTTCTCTGAAGATAGCAGAAATGCAGAAGGGCTAGCCTCTTTTAGCTTGCATGACAAATGATCTTCCCGTGAATCTCGAGTCTACAGTCCTACCAAATTCCTGGTCGTCATTGGAAGCAATCAGTCCATACTCTTTACCTTCTCAACAAGCTATGCCCTCTGTCGACAATCCCACAATCAAACTTTTTTCACTCATTAAGCTCCATCGTCACACATCTCAACACACAAAAAAGAACATCCAACTCTAAATATCTTCCCCTCTCCACAACACCAATTTCACGTTATTCGTTCCTTCTCCCCCAACCCATCTCCGATTCTCTTTCCTAGAAGTAGACGTGTGCAACGGTCCATTTCGGTCCGAACAAAACTCACAGACTAAACTTACAGAAATCGTAATCCGATAGTAAAAAATATTTCAGAGTCTAACGATCAGATTAATATTGTATTCAATCTTGAATATAATATTTTATTTCAAATATTAATTCGGTTTATTTTATTTCAGGACTTATAAAAATCATGAAATTAACTGATCAAATACCAACTCATAATATATACGATTCAGTATGATCCGGTCCAGACCTCGGTTACATACCAAATAGTTGTCCAACCTCGTCAAAAGAAACTCGCGCCCGATATTTATACCACTCCCCGCTCACCTACTAACTGATCACCGCCCAAACCAAAATGGCAGACCACTCCACGGCCGCCGCCGCCGGCCGGAGGCAGCACGTGGCCATCGAAATCGAGCCGGCCGCCTCCGACAGCAGCCTCGTCACTTCCATCCTCCAACAGATGGAAACCGTCTCCTCCCTCCACTCCATCTGCCGGGCAAGCCCCACGCGCCGCGAGTCGAGCAAAAAATCCTACACCCCGCAGAAAGTCGCCATCGGCCCTTACCACCGCGACGGCGCGACGGCGGCCGAACCCCTCAGACCAATGGAGGATCACAAGTGGCGTTACGTCCACGCGCTCCTCGGCCGGCGGACCGACCTAGAGGCCAGCCTGAACGACTGCGTTTCGGCGCTCAGGGAACTGGAGCAGAGGTCGCGCGCCTGTTACGCGGGCGACGACGTGGATCTCCCCGCCGGCGACGAGTTCGTGAAGGTCATGTTTTTGGACGGATGCTTCATCATCGAATTGTTCTTGAAGTACTCGACCAAGGTGCTGCGACGTCGTAACGATCCGATTTTCGCGGTCCCCGGGATGCTGTACGAACTGCGGTGCGATT